TGCAGCGCGGCCGGAGCCCGGTGCAGCGCGGCCGGAGCGCGGTGCAGCGCGGCCGGAGCCCGGTGCAGCGCGGCCGGAGCCCGGTGCAGCGCGGCCGGAGCGCGGTGCAGCGCGGCCGGAGCTCCCTGCAGCGCGGCCGGAGCCCGGCGCAGCGCGGCCGGAGCTCGGCGCAGCGCGGCCGGAGCTCCCTGCAGCGCGGCCGGAGCTCCCTGCAGCGCGGCCGGAGCTCCCTGCAGCGCGGCCGGAGCTCCCTGCAGCTTGCCGGAGCGCGGTGCAGCGCGGCGGCGGCCCCGGGCCGGGGCTGGCCCCGGGCGCGCTCCGGTTACGGCACCGCGGCACTCATTGCAACAGACGGCGCTTCCCGGCCGCCAGACCGCGCTCGCTTCTAGGAAAGGGGATGGGGGCTGAGGCTGCTTCACGGCATTCCCGGCTGCCGGGAAACAGGCTGCTCTGTGAATTTTAAGTTTCACTGGCAGCAGAAGAAAATTTGCTTTTAAAGATTCATTAGGTCTAACTCCACTCTCTAGCCTTCTCTGTTCTCCAAACAAGCTCTCAAGGGAACTAAGCAAGACCTTTACAAAACACATCTATGAAAAATTCAAAAAGCATATGTGGGATAAACATTCGTTGCTTATATGAATAATAATCTCTCTTTCAGAGTATTCTATTTCAAAATTGGGTCAGCAATATAGTTTGAAAACACCTCAATTTTACCACAAGACAGTAGTGTTCTATTCAGACAAAGTTGCATATTCTCAGGAGAAAGGTTCCATGTACCAACTATCCTTTTCAGAACAAGTATTTCTTTGGTGCGAGTAGTCCTCAGTGCTTTCAGGTTCCTTATATTGTGCACACTGGAATGTGGGGAAAAATAAGGATGTCCATAGCATGACTTCTGCAATTTCATAAATGCCAAAACAGAGAAAGACAGATAAAAGGATTGTTCTGGCACTCAACTTGTTGATTACTTGTTATTATGCTGGTTATTTTGAAAGAAAATATAAAAATTATTAAAAACTGAAAGAGATACTAAGGACTAGTGAATATGCCTAGTTGACAGACAATAACAGAAGCTAAAATATCCCACTATGACAGTGCAGAATGTTTTTCAAAGCAAATATTGCTCTACATTCCACCAGTGAATAATAAAAAACCCTGGTATATAACAAGGTCCATATTGTGATCCTGTGGACAATTTGCCCTCAATGGCCCTGATCTTGCATTTGTTAACAACAATTTATTTGCCTCCACATATCATTGGGACTACATATGTGCATATTGAAGTATAATCTGTAATTAGGCACATATCTGGTCTTTGTTGCAGCCTCAGGGTAAGAGTAGCATTAGTGTATTAAAATAATTACACAAGTTTACCTCACTGGATGGAAAACATTTGATTAAGCATCAATAAAAAGCAGTCTCCTTTAAAGAACAGTACTTCAAAGTGTCCTTTAAAGACATTACTGGGTACTTCTGTGCCTCAGTATACAACCAATTCTATAAATATTTGCAAAAGTTTATGTTCCTTTCTATCATATTCTGTCTTGTTTTGACAGCACAGTGTGCTACAACCATTACAAGATTGCAGAAAATCTTATCACAAATCAGAGATGGAGTCTAAGCTGCTGAGGCTTTTTTATTTCCTCCAACAATTTGATTTTCAAAAATTTACTGACTTTATTAAAATCATTTTGAATATTGAATTCAATATATAACATTGTATCTTCTATGCTTTTTTTTTTGGTTTATGCTTTCATCACTTGTAACAATAGAAGATATTATTTTAATAGTAAGGTAAGAGCTTTTATAAAATCTCTAGCTATAAGAATGCATGTCTTGTATGAGTAGTGATCTTTAGTAAACTTCAGGGTTTGCTCCCTCTTTCTTTGGAATACAGGCACTAGTGTGTGGTTACAGAGATCTGGACTTCACTGATGATGTGAGCACAAGAAGCCCCACGACATTCGCTCTTTGGCAGTGTCTGACCTGCACCTCAGTAATCTCATGCAGGTAAAATGCCTCACACTTGATCATGGCTGAATACAATTCAGAGAAGGTGAGTGGGGCTGCCAACCTGCAATAGGATGGGATGAAAAGCAGAGAACAGCAGCACTGAGCTCTTTGCAGGTAGAGGATTCAATTGAATATACATCCCATGGAAAACAAATCTGGTATTTGTTGAGAGAGCTGTTCCAACAAAGGAAAGCAGGACTACTGTATCAAAAGGGGTAAGTTTGTCAGCTGAACCAAATGGGATTTTCATTTATGCCAAGAATATCTCTGGCATCTACTACAAGATCATTGTGAGAATGACTCGCTATCGCTAAACATCTCCAGGTGATGGACAGCATCTTATAGGGGAAAATAAAAACAGTCAGGAATATCCAATTTCAAAATTTATCTTAGATGCTGATAGTGCACACTGAAGGCTGGAATTTCAGTGGAATTAGCTCATACATAAACAAAACATGCAGGTAAACAACCAGCTTTTTAGATCAGTCACAAAATGCTTCAGAGAGTTAAAGCAGTTAACATGCTAACTATTGTTGCCATTATCTACTCCCTACCTCAATTATATCTCAGCAGAGTTCCTGTTTATGTCAGGATAACAGCAGATTCATTTTTCAGTTTGAGCACTGTGTATGCTAGTTCTTGAAGAGACTTGACATGGCAAGGAAATTTAAATATCTACACTAATAGAAGAGGTTGAAACCACAGGAGATACTTCCCCTAGCTGTGCAATGCTTGAATGTACACACTGTCTTTGCCTACCTACTCTACTCTTCTAAGTCCCACCTCACACAGAGGTGGGGTCTGTAAAACAGTGCCCACAGTTCTTCTCCAGTGTGCTGACTGTAACCACTGCTCCTTCCAATTGCACCACAGATAGGCAAGAACTCTCCTCACATCCCTTAGCTAAACACCCTCAAGGAGAGGAAGGAGGCACAAAGAGTACCCTCAGTGCCCAGAAGAGTGTGCAGCTTTTCACCTTCACCTCCTTGGGCACAGTGGGCACCGCAGGGCATGGACAAGGCCTGAGAACAACTCCTGCAAGCAGGAGAGGGAGGAGGAAGGCTGGCAGGTATCAACACAGGGCAGAGACACTGTTGCCTGGTTAGTGAAAGCACCCAGAAGATGCAGCCCCTGTGACACAAAAATTGTGGCTGTTGTGACTCCAGTTTGGACTCTCTGCCAGGTCACCAGGTTGTCAAGGTCACAATACCTGGTTTTCAGCTCTGTGGATGGAGTGTACTTGCTCCGTTCAGATACAAACCTCCAGTCTGCTTCCACAGCACAGATCTCCTGAAAACTAATCCATCAGCTGCAGTCTGCCTGGAGACTGTAAGCAAATAGCTCCTTGCTGCACCTGTCATGCATTCACCCAGCTGATTCTCTGACACCTGCATTAGCTGCCTCTTGTTTTCTTAACTCCCTTCAAGACAATTTTGATCTATAGCCCTGTCTTGCCAATCAGTCTCCCTCCACCTCAGAGAGTGTCACTATTTCAGTCCATAGTGGCCTTCAGTGGTGGCACCACTGATTCACAGCCTGTACCTTTGCAAGGTGCTGCATCTTTTCCCTAGAATACTCCACCAAAAAATCTCCACTGAACTCATTCACTTCCTAAGGTGGTTACCACAGGGGTCTTCACTATTCCTTGTCCCAAGAGCAAGATGGCAGTTTACTCTTGGCAGAGTAATTCAGCTGTCTGATATATTTGTAATACTGACAGATTAATAGCCAGATTATCTTTCAAGGTGCTTTTATATTTTAAAGAATTGAAAGGATGCTTAGAAGCTTGGATGAGAGCTTTTATACAGATATTTTACAATAGCTTCTTCAATGTCTTTCTAAAATTAAGAAAGCAAACAACATGCAATGACCCCATATTTTCAAAGCCAGGATGTCTTGTCATCGCAAAAACAATCTCCTTCCAGAATTAAAAAAATTTGCAGATATAAAAACTTGGAAATGTTTCTTTCGCTCCCTTGTTCACAAAACTGAAATCCTGTTCCTGTTTTCAAATTTCAGTATTTTACTTTGAAAAAAAAAAAAAAAACTAAACTAAATTTTGGGTTTACTTTCTAATTTATGAAATTTCAAGAAACCAGAGAACAAAGGCTTTTTTAGAAGCCTTTGCAAAAAATCACTTCTAGATCAAGACAACACCTGAAAATACCTCTGTTTCTTTCTCTGTCAGTTTAACCATTGTAAATTATGAGAAAGGTTTATGATCAAATATTCAATAATCTTGTCAATTTTATTATTAGCAAGGGAACTGAAGTTATTAGATTTAAAGCAAATTCCCTCACATTGAGAATGTGAAATCTTGATATAAAACAACAACGAACACAGACTGCTGTTATTTACAAGACTAAATGAGATGTGAAGTCCTAGTAAAGGAATGAAAGCTTTTTGTGTAACAAAATATATGTATTGATACACATGCTTACACATTGCACATACATATAAAACTGCTTAATGAGCTATCTTATATTTTTAAAAATTCAATTTAATTTCTTTAGTAATAGTACCTATAATAATATATAAGCAATGAATAACAATGCATCTGAAGTTCTATTCAATTCACTATAGTTGCTGAGAACAGCATTTTAATTCTCATTCTAATTATAGAATTAGACAAAAGA